CTGGGAGAGCTGGGGCTGCTCAGCCTGGAGACCTTGTAGTGGCCTCCCAGTAAAGAGGGCTCCCAAAAAAGTCAGAGAAAGGCTTTTTAGCAAGGGCCTGTTGCAATAGGGCAAGGGCTGATGCTTTTAAAGAGATGCAGAATAGATAGAAGGAAGAAATGTTTTGCAAGGAAGGTGGTGAGATAGATACTGGCACAGGTTGCCCAGAGAGGTGACAGATGCCCCATCCCTGGGGACATTCAAGGTGATGTTGGACGGGGCTCTGAGCAACCTGCTCCAGTTGAAGATGTCTCTGCTCGCTGCAGGAGATGGCCTTTAAAGGTCCCTTCCAACCCAAACGACTCCGTGATTCTCCGTGCTTTAAGCCAACATGTAGTAATTTGATCGCTGCTGCGATGAGGAGTGGGGACAAAGCCAAGGTGCAAGAGACAGAGGAAGGTCGCCCATGGTTGGGGACCATCCTGACCCGCTCCGGGACCCTCTGCTCACTTGCTGTCCGGGTTTATTCCCCTTACAGGCGTTGGATGGCTTCTTTTTCGTTGTGAACCGCGAAGGGAGGATCGTCTTCGTCTCAGAGAACGTGACCAGCTACCTGGGTTATAACCAGGAGGAGCTCATGAACACCAGCGTCTACAGCATCCTGCACGTGGGGGATCACGCTGAGTTCGTCAAGAACCTGTTGCCGAAGTCTCTAGGTAAGAAAACCCTGGGGATGTTTTTTGTTTTTTTATTGTTTACTGTAAAATTCAGAGATATACCCGCGCCCTGCAATAATCTGTAAACCTTTACCTGGTGAAATAACATCCTACCAGCGAGGTGCAAGTATTAGATTTTGGAATAAACAGCCAGTGGATGTCAGTATTCACATCCCCTTCCCCTTGTCTTCCTCTGCTAAGAAAACTTTTTGCCTTCGCCTTCAGCTCAGGGGTAGGAAGAACCGACTCGTCTGCCCCAAGCGAGGGACACGCGTCAGAGCTTTCGGGAGATGAGGACGATTCGGAGATGTTGGTTTGGGAGGACTGAGCCCGTTGGCTTATCCCCGTTCATTTGGGACGTCCTCCCAGCTGGAGGGGGGTTGTCCCAGCTGGTTTTGGAGCCGGAGTATCTGGCAGGGGGACATGCTTCCTCTTGGGGTGTGAGAAGAGGTCCCGGTGCAGGCAGTGAGCTCGCCGTGGTGCCCTATGCTGAGAAAACCAGCAGTTGTGAGGGTGGGAGGAAGCTTCGCGTCAGGAAAGCACTCGCAGGGTGTTGGGAGCAACCAAAGCAGAAGGTTTTATTCCTTGGCTGATGTGGGTGAGACATCACCGAGGCCTCACCCACTCGCACCTTTGAAGAAACACGAGAGAAGATGAGCCTTTTCCAAGTCGCTTGACTTAAAAAGACGTGTTTTGTTGAAAGTCACCCTCGTCTTCCTTCTGGGTAAATGCAACGTGGTGCTAAACCACCTCAGTCTACGGGTGCTCATCAGATTGAGCCTGTAGAGGTCCCGGTGTCATCTTTTCCCTGTGGTTACGTGGTTTAAGGCTGGGATTTTTTTGTCTTTCCCTGGATGTTATGAGCCCCTGGGCTCTTCTTGTTCATCAGCTCCAAAATCTGCTGGTGGCAAACCCACTTGGGTCAAATGTGGATAGCCAGAAAGAGGGTCTAGAGGTTTAGCTAAATCTTTCAGCTGCTGCCCAGAGGTTTTTGGAGAATCCACGTTACAGGAAAAAATCAAAAGGGGAGGATTTTTGCTGCTGTGATTCCGGAAGGGCTGGAAGGAGATGTGCCCCAGCAATGGGGAGGAAGCAAAGAAAAAGTTCTTTTCTGTGGAGATACTCAGCTGGACTTGCTGGAAAGGTCCCGTGAGCATCACTTTGGGGGGGATTTTAAGTAAGACAGCAGGAGACAGAAGCCCTCCCAAGCCGTGGAAGTGCCTCAGTTTCCCTGCCCTTAAGATGCCCAGCACAATGACTTTCTTCACTATGTACTGACCCCATTTAGGGTTGTAGGTGCTCTGGGGTCCTGTCTGGGGGTGTGGATCTGGGCACAGGGTCCTCAGCAGGCCCAGAGGAGCCCCAGGGGCTCTCAGGGAGGGCTCTGTCCCCAGAGCTGCCTTCTTCCACGATGCCGGCGCTTTTCCTTCTGTCTCCTTACCCAAGGGGCGCCGGGGAAGTCAGGGGTTGATGCGTGTGTGGCGCAGCTCCTGCCAACTCCTCCTCCTTTCTCCATCCCCCAGTAAACGGAGTTCCTTGGCCTCAAGAAGCGACCAGGCGCAACAGCCACACCTTCAGCTGCAGGATGCTGATCCGGCCGCCCGACGAGCCGGGCGCCGAGAACCAGGAGGCTCGTCAGCGCTACGAGGTGATGCAGTGCTTCACCGTGTCCCAGCCCAAGTCCTTCAAGGAGGAAGGAGAAGGTAGGGGAGAGCATCCTCTCGCTTCTGACCCTGTGTTCAGGGCGAGGAGGGCAGGGCAGGGCAGGAGGACTGCGACGGGGATGGCAGCGCGGGGGGGGGGTTGATCGGGCACCACCCTGCAGGGCTGTC